CTCCATGTGGGTCACCTCCCTAGCCAGGGATTGAAGTAGTTCTTAAGTGGCTGTGGCTAGCTTCTAAGTGCTGTATTCCAGCTCTTTGTGTCACCGGGAAGGGTCCAACCTTATTTTTCTCCTTAGTACTTTATACTATGTAAATAGCATGTAATTTGTTACTATTCTATATGTGTTTTAAATTTAATCAAATTAGCATTCTATTCACTGCTCTAGTTTATGAAAAACACATCAGTAGTACCTTCTGAAAAGTGTTGTGGAGGTGAAAAAATTGCTTATTGCACAAGTGCTGTGCCCAAACCCCCTTGGATTGAATCACTAGCAATTGCTTAATGAACCATTGATGAGAAAAGAACAAGAGAACTGACATCCTGATTACCAAGATTGGACATTTAGGTTTATACAGAAACTGGTACTGACACTGAAATTTTTAAAACTCAAAAAAATCCTTGCTTGCCATTTATTTTTACCCTTTATCTTTAGGTTAACGATTCTAAGCACCCAAATTAGCTCTAGCTTATAGTTGGTACTCAAATATTTGTAGAATGATTGAATGATGCATCCAATCATTAGCTACACACTAGATACCTTGCTGTTCTTCAGACAAGCACACTGAGACACATAAACTTGTAGGAAGCTTATCAGGAACATTTTAATATCTGTGAAGAGAAGGGAAGAAAGCAGCAATGGGGAAAAATAAAGAAAAAAAACACACAGGTTGCATGCAAACTCTAAAAGCACCCATAAATACTACAGGATACTATTCCACATTGGGTTAAAGTCCAGTCCTTTCTCCTTTGTAGTGCCTGGGTGCAGGCTTGCCCTTGAGTGTGAGTGTGGTCTTCATGAGGCCACATTAAACTTAAACCAACCTCCAGAGTCGGGTGAGAATTAGGGTAGGCATATCAAATCCTTAATTAGACACTTACTATATGGTCTTCTCCAACTAGAAAACTATGCTCCAAGAATAAAATTTAGTCCATTGTATGCATAAATGCAAGTGATTGGAACATAGTGGTCCAAAACTTGGAGAATGAATTTCATGCTTCTGGTTGACATTGTGATATTAATAGCACTTGAAATTCTGGAGACTGATGATAACCCTCTTGATTATAAGGATGTGCAGGAAAGTGTGAAGCAAAATCTGAATGGAACAAATGTGTACTGTCCAGGGCCATCTTTAAGCAACTAAGAAAAATAAAATGAAGAGAAATTCTGTGTATTAGTGCACCCACCTACATGCACAATCATGCTTCTTTAAGAAACATTAGTTATTTCCATTCTCAATCTTCAGGAGGAATGTGGACTGAAGACCCTTGGATATTTTGCAGTATTTTGCAATATAGACAAGTTGCGATGGAGCAGGTTGCCACCAGAGGGCACTGTGGGACCTTTTGTGAGTTTACCTTTCCAATATAGGCCTGCAAGGAGATAGACGATTAAACCTGTAAATCCCTAACATAGATGAGTATTTTGCTATTGCTTCATTTTAAAAATACGTACACTAAATAAATTAAGCTTTAAGTTGCATTGAGCAAAAAATTACAAAGTATATTGAAGTTAAATTCACAGCAAATCATCATCTTAAATGCTGTGAATTATATTCAACCTAACTCCTGACTTTAATAATACTGATTAAAATGACACTGAGATAGAATTTTTCACCTGTAAGATTTTCCTACCCAAGAATCTAAATATGCTGGTGGCCACACAAATTCTCATGAAGGAAATTTGACAACATTTTTGAAAGTTATAAAAGCATTTGCCCTTTGACTTTCACACACTAGTAGAAATTTATTCTATAGATGTTTCTGTTAAGTGCAAATTTATAAGCTGATGGTATCCTCTTTAACAGCAACTAAGATTTGAAAGATACCAGTTTTTGAAGAGTCTGCTTAAAGAAATGTTAAAGCAATAGGAAAAATGTGAAACTCAGTAAAAGTTGCTTTTTACTTATGACATAAAAAGCCTTGGGAGAAACTTCAGGAGAATAAAAGGACAAGGCCTAGCAATAGTGGGTAAAATGTACATTGATTTTTAATTGTTTAAGGATTGAGGATTAATAAGCATACATGTTTCTATTTGAAATCAATTAGGGCTAGTGCTTCTGTAAGCCTGTAAGTATATGAAATCAGTTGCAAAAGAACTTGTGTTTCCTGTGTGTACCTTTTCAGAACTTTGATATCTGTGATTGGCCAAATAATTCATGGTGAGGAATTAGACAAGGAGCCTTTGGGCAAAAAAAAAAAAAAAAAAAAAAAAAAAACTTATAAAAGTGATTAAAAATTTCACTAGTGGGGGGTCTTCCAGGTGGTGCAAGGGTTAAGTCTCAGCACTAAGAAACTCTTTGCTGCTGCTGCAGCAAGAGTTTGATCCCCAGCCTGGAAGTTAACCCACAAGGCACAGCAGACCTCTCCTGACTGCCCTGCTGCTCCCCTCAGCAGGGTATCTTAGTCTTCTTCCCACTCTGTCTCTAGTGAATGCTCTAACCCCTTCCCTCCCCATATGTCTGGCCTACACTCCAGCTCTTAAATGCATAAATAAGTAAAATAAAAAACTTTTAAAAAAATGTTCTAGCACTCTTAGTAGAAGTTTACCACAGTAATACATAATCATTTATTGAATATTGACTAAGAACCTGGCAGTGAGTCACATTGTAAGTATACAAATCTCATATTCTACCTCTCTTCATGGAGCAAGCCTCCAGAGAAAGGTGATATGGTCTGATTGCTTTTCAGGGTGCTATCTTTGCGGGAAAATTAAATGAGCTGGTTCCCTGTTTCTGAGAAGGGCTGGAGAACATCTTCTTGTCTTTTCATGGATTGTAAATCTGAGTAGGTGTTCTCTATGAAAACAGCATTGGAATTGGGGGAAAAATATATTTATTCTTGTGCAGAGAACACCTGTAAAAGTGCAGAGTTTGAAAACACACGATCTGTTAGAACAAGTGTTGAAGAGGTTAGCATGTTGCTTTTTTTTTTGACAGTTATCACTGCCACTTCTGCTAAAATTACTATGCTCGTATTAGTAATATACATTGTAGGTAATTGTGCCTTTAATCCTAACATCAAAACTCTGGAGTCATGTCATCTGCATTATACATGCCATGATATCAGGAATTATTAAAGTTAAATACTTTGTCTAGATCTATATATTTTGGTACCAGTGGAAATCAAGCCTACATTGCACGCTAAACTCTATGTTCTGAATGGTGAAATTGTTTGCAGCACCACTTTTTCCAAGCAGATTCATCCTTTGACTTTGTGCAAAGTCACTTTGTTAGTTGTGGAAAGTAGGTGGAGTTTATCAACAGGCTCCCATACTCTTGGAATGCTAATGTGCTTAGTTGTAGAGGGGAGGAAGAAGATTTAAATGTTTCATCCTGGGTCTCCCTCCATCCTGATATCTGTGGCAGAGGTCACTGCTTCCTTTAAAGGCCCTCTCTACATGGCTGTCACCTAGATTGCAGTAGCTGCTCTCTGCCCTCATCCTTGCAGGCTGAGGAGTGATAACAACTCTATCACATCTTCCCTTGCAGTTTCCTTCCATACAGCCCACAGTTTTGTAAATAGGTTCTTTATTAAACTCTCCTCAAATTATCCTAATTTGAAAGTGCCATCTGCTTGCAGTTGGCACCAGATCAACATTTAAGAAGTTACTGTTATTATCTAAGTGAGAGCTGATGAAAGTCTATTGTGGCAGTAGCAGCCGAAATGAGGGAATGAAATGGATTCCAGAAAGATGTGAGAGGAATCTGAATTTGAAAAGAGTACTACAAAGAAAGAACAGTGTTGATTCTTAAAGTTTGATTTCATAAAGGCATTATGAAGGCATAGCTCTCTATATAGAATGCACTGCTACTTTGTTTTTGACAAGTTGAGACAAATTAACCACTAGCTGCTACCAGAAGTCAGGATTTAGAGGGATTTTACGGAATGTGCTAAAACACTATTATATGACCATCTTAAAATAACATGTGGAATCACGTCATTCAATAAGAGACAGTGGTTCTTCAAATGAGCAATCACTGGTGTACTAATGAAGTAGGTACAGAAAGAGGTAAGAGGGTATCTTGACTGGTAACTCATGAGGTAGAGTGTATGGACCCTATTAGTCTTGGCTCTGAGGTTTTTGGTAGGCAGGGAGTGCGATCAGCAAATGGCATATTCCTACCTCTACCCCAAGAAGTACTCTGCATTCAAACTCCAAATCCTGGGCTAGAGGATAGATGCAGAAGCAGTGTTGGCTGCACAGACACTAACAGATTGGCTCACTGTCTTGCACGTTTTCTAAAATCACCCTATGTGTACAGATTTAGAGCAAGGCTGAGCAGACTCAAGGTCAAGAGATTGCTCATGTAGACAACTGGGCTCTGAGGTTTTTTGCCCAAGCTTATGATACTATCACATGATCAAGATGCCCATTTTCATCTTCTGTTCTGTAGGAGAAAGATTATGTGATATTTGAGGAAACATCAATGCTTTTTATGTGTGTCTCAAGTTAAAGAATATAAAAGAAGGCAGGCATAAAACTAAAAGGAATTGAATTATTAAATTTTCTTTCCTGCTGAGGTTCTGTTTTGTGGCTAAAAAAAAAGAAAGAAAGAAAGAAAAGGAAGGAATTGAGGGAAAAAATGCAGTGTTTCTTTATGGAGTTCAAAAATGTATTTTCATTTATAGTTTCAAGGATACTATATAGAAAATGGATTCCTAAATTAGCACATCATTACTTAAATCAAATGGTTAGGATTAATTGCCCTGAAATAACCTTTTATGAGGAAATTTTTATAGGAGATAAAATACCGATGGTCCCTTTGACTTCTACAGGTGCTATATTAATTACTGAGGTGTAAATTATGAGGTGAAGAGTTTACACTTTCCTTTGTGTTGAGCATTCTGATAAATGAGTATCTAATGTGACAGAAAAAAGATAACATAATGAATTTGAAGGAAAATTTAAAAGAAAGACTGACTTTTTTTTTTTTTTCCCCCTCATGGTAGGAATACAGAGCAGTCAGTTCCTGGCTCGTGATATTCTAGTTAAGGCGTCTGCCTGACAGCATGTTGGCACCAGCACGGAGGGAAGCTATGGACTTCAGCTCCAGGTGAGTACCATTCTCCAAAACACAACATGTACTTCTTTCCAACTTGTATACCACAGAGTTCAAGAAGTGATTCGATCAAGCCTTTCACCCTTTGAAAATGCTGGCTTATTGCATTTCTTTAACGTCTAAGTTTTTAAATTTTGTAGTGCTGTAAAGCAAATGCACACTCATCTTTCTCTTAAGAGGTAAAACAGGTAAAGAATGTCCTTCTGAACTAAGTGTCAAAATGCCTGAATTAGAAGTGAGTGGTGAAACATGATGCAGTATTTGGGGTAAGGGGTTGGAGTTGCTTGTAGAAGCAACTGAGAGTGGGAACCCAGGGAAGCCAATATTAACATTAACTATTTCAAAGTAACATATCATTTCATAGTTTTTCTCAAGTTTAGTAATCAGGCATTAAAATAGTCATGCATACTAATATTGAAATATAAATTACAATAGTAGATTGATCTGTTATTCACAAAACTCATGTCTGACCTTTGCCACTTAGTAAATGAACGCTTAATAGCTATGTTCTTGCACATTTTCTCACGTTCAGTATGATGTAATTACAGCAGGCAGATAACTCAACATGCCTTGATTTCTAATTTTCAAATGAAAAGAGATAGAAAATAGGTGTCAATAGATCTTTTTTGTTCCACTGATTTCAGTTATGATCTTCCCTACAGACTTTCATAGCCTATAAGCCAGAATGTATACATGTCCCAGTGGCATTAATGTCAAACACTTTTTAGTTGATTAGAGTAATAAGCTGTAAGTTCCACGAATAGGAGATATAGATAGAAACTTTTCAAGTTGTTTATATTTTGCAAGGCCTGTATATTATGTGTACCTACATGCATCCTGTAATTTATATTGAATCTCTGCCTTCCACAAATGCAAAGATTAATAAAGGAGATAAACTAGACAACTGAGGTAAGTGGTATAAAAAATTACAAAGGAAATATAACTATTTAGTCTATTTATCAAACACATGAATCCTTCCTTTCGATATAGTAATTCTATTTAAATGATTTATGTAAGAAAAAAATGTAACATCTGAAAAGAGTTCAAAGGAATTTTCTTAGTCTGTTTCAATAGTAATGAAAACAGCTAACTATATCTAAAGTATATGGTAAAGTTTTTCAAAGAATGAAGTTTTATAGAACTATTAAAACAAAAGCCTTATAAGAGTGTTTATGATATAGAAGCAGGTAGTAGGTATGTTTTTAAGTTCTGCCATTTTCACATCCATATAACCATGGGGCCACATTTCTCCTCTTCCATGTGTGCACATGCTGTTACTCATCCTTTACCAGCCTCTGAGGCTGCTGCCCCCCTGTATTCCCCGCCTTTACTCCCCTCTCTAGTAACCAGCATATTTTCCACCAAGTCTGAGAATTGTATTTGCTCTGCTTTGCAAATACATATATTTTTATTTTATTTGTATCCTGTATATAACTAAAATCAGCTGATATATTTGAACACCTAACCTAATTCACTTTGCATAATCATCTCAAGGTACATCCATTTTGTTCCTAAAGACAGTCTTATCTCTCTCTCTTTTTTTTTTTAACTGAATAGTATTTCTCTGTGTATGTAGTCCATAATTTCCTTATCTAGTCATTGTTGCTGGGCACATAGGCTAATCTTGTGACTTGGCAGTTATGGAGAGTGCTGCTAAGAACATATATGTACATAAAACCTCTGCATATTCCTTGAGTAAATGCTAGCAGAAATAGTGCTAGATTCTTTGGTATTTCTATTTTTATTTTTTTAAGTTTTTTTTTTTTTTTTTTTTATGTATACAAGACCTGGGTGTAGGCCAGCAATATGGAGAAGGATCAGAAAATTCACCAGAGGCATAGTGGGGAGCAGAACAGGCAGGTCTAATGAGATACACTGCTGAGGGAATAGTGGGCGAGGCAGGAGAAGTCAGCTGCACCCTGTGGGTCACCTCCATGGCTGGGGATAGAACTCAGGTCATAGTGACTGGCAAGAACTTGAAAGCTCTTGAGACCTTAACCCCTGCACCATCAGGAAGGCCCCGATTTTCCCCTACTTTTTAATGAATGACTATGTTGTTTTCTATAGCGGCTATGCCAAATGCACCAAATTGCATCCCCAACAACAGAGGATTAGGTTTCCCTTCTCTCCATATCCCTGCCAACATTTGTTGTTTGCAATATTTTTGATACAGGCCATTTCACAGAAGTGAAGGAGTATCTCATTATGGTTTTGAATTGTGTTTTCTTTAAAGAAGTGATTTTGTACATTTGTTCATGTGCCCTTAGGTCAACATTAGAAAAGACCCTTGGGTCTTCAGGACATTTTTGATTGGATTGTCTGTTTTTGTTGTTGGATTAGTTGAGTATTTTATATATTTTGGAAATGGCTTATAGAATAACCTTTGTATGTTAATGGAGAAACATATAGATAACACTAATTTTTACTGTTTTACTTTGCTTTAACCTCTTTTTATTATAAACAGAATATAAAAAACTTAATCTTGAAAGTAAGTCATTGATGATTTTTTCCATAAGAAAATAGAGTTATAGCAAAATAGCATGAAAAAATTTGTCACCATATTTTTTGGGAAAGATTAAAAATCAAGTTACAAAACAGTGTTGAGGTAAAATGCAATATTTTTGTAAAAGTAATTTACATTTATAAGTAAAATTTTACTAGTTTAAGAAAAAGAAAACTCATAAGTAAATCAGTTTGGGAGAGTGAATTTTTTTTTCTTTTTTTTCAGTAAATGTGTAAAATCCCCAAAGGCAGAATGAAAATTCGAGAATTGCATTTAACATTAAACATATAGAAATGTTTTTAACTAGTAGTGGTGAATCATTTTGATCAGTTCAAATGAATACATGGTCAACACTGTTCAGTCTCTTATGTTGTAGAAAATCATAAATGCATATATTAAGTACATTTGAATATTATCATATTTGTTTCACATTAAGATAGAATAATGAGTTTTATACATTAAATGCAATTCTCTACCATACTCTTGAATTTTGTAAATACCACTGCTTTTGACAAAAGCTATAAGCAATACCAATTGAAATATATTAACCAAATCTTTAGAATTTAGTTTCATTAATTATTTTCTAAGTTCAGTGATTCATGGTTGAGCTGTTCATTTATCCTTCAAAAAAAAACTTATTTATGCTACAATTCTGGGGTACAGTCCAGAGGTGTGGGAGGTGGGGTGAGAGGATTCACCAGAGACAGAGTGGGAAGCAAAACAACAAGGTGCAATGAAATACACAGGTGGAGCGAGCAGCAGGTGAATCTTGAGAGGTCTGCTGTGCCATGTGGGTCACCTCCCTGTAGGGATTAAACTTGTGCTGCAGGGGCTACGATTGATAGTTTTATAGTGCTGGGCTTTAACCCATTGTGCCACCAGGGAGGGACCTGCTCATTATTGTTTAAAAAAACAAAACTATAATTTCTAATGAATAGCTCATTTAATTAAAATAAAAAATACTGGTAGCATTCTAATTCATGGACTTCTGTACAGCTTTTTTTGCCCTATACACTGGTTTTGAAGCACCTTTATTTAGCCATTTTTGTTTTTATTTTATATTCTGCTGGAATGATCATATACATCCATAGCTTCAGTATTACCATATTTATAACATTGCCTAGACCTGTACTCTGTCAACTAAAAGAACCACAAGTATCACCCTCACTTAGGCTGTATTTCCCACCTCTTTACTTCAGATCTCACATTATTAGAGCCTTCGATTTTTACCCTTCTGAACATCAAGTCTCTAAAAGCAAAATCATGCTGCGTAGAGAGGAATGACTTCCCAGATTACTTGAATAGGCCAAAATTACCCATAATAAATGTGAGAAGGTTTCCAAGCTGATTAATTAGCATCACTAAAAGATACACATTGCTAATTTATAGCAATTGTCTATTCCTTTTTGTATCATCTATGAATTCATACTCCACATTTCAGCCTTCTTTTTTCCATACGTTTGTCTTTTTTTTTTTTTCTATAAATGTGTGAGCTACCTAACATGAAGTAGAAACTATAAGAAGGCTGTAAAATTGAGCATAAGGGTAGTATAGAGTTGTCAACATGTCAAAAGAGGCATGGAGGGGATAGGAATGTTTGGAGGCCAGATTTGGTATTGGTTGATCTGGGCTTAAAACCCTTCACTTGGATGAGTTATCCATTCCAGAGCATGCTGCTCCTTTCAAGTCTGCGGTTTTAATGACTAATTTACCCTAAATTCCCCTATTCTATAAGTCAACTTACATTTGTAGAAAACTTGTATAAATATTGAAGCATGTTGTGTGTGTGTGAACATTGATGCTGTCAACCATAAATGATAGATTCAACTTACAAAAACACACATACTTGCACATATGTTTGTGTGTGTCTATATATGTATATGTACACATACATGTAGCTACTATTTCAACTGAATTACTGAATATGTTCATTTCACTCTATCTTCTCCAGCTGATGCAATGGCTTTCACTAGTTAAATTTGCAAGCAAAATACAAATCACATCAGTTACTGTCAATTCTGACCATGTTGATAGACAATTGTCTTAAGTTATTAATGTTTTCACTTGGTAGAATTGTCTTTGTTACTTCTATGGTGAAATATCTCTTGGTGTTTGAGTAAAATATGTTCAAATAGGTATTTGCAGAGAAAGTCCTCTCCTTTCAATGTAATTTCTGTGATCTGCCCATCAAATCATTGTGGTTTAATAGTTCAGGAGGTGTTCTTTCTGTCTTGATCACAAAGAGAATTCAGCTCAGGCCAAACCCCAAGATAATAAGCTTGGCAATACAAAGCAACTTCCTTTTATGAATTGCACTCACAAAATAAATGTGCTATGAAAATTAAAGACACAGAATATTAAGATAATATTGCTTCATTGATCTGAAAATTATTTTCAACTATACAATATTAATAGCACACCATGATCTGAAATTTAATCATTCAGCAACAAAAATATTTAATATTTTAACAACTTTAGTGATGCTGAATTT